TTTTTATTTCTTTGTTGCAGATTGAGCGTTGCTACTACTTCCTCCATGCGTGCGTGGAGACGGCACAGAGGAAGGAGCCGGTAGATGGGCGCCTGGTCCAGTTTCTTCTCTCCAACCCGACCAATGATGGAGGACAATGGGACATGCTGGTCAATCTCATTGGTCAGACATAAATGAACACATTAATTAGAACGCATTAGAGATTAACGATACCAGTCTAACTGATCCTTCATGTTTGCTGCTTATATTTCTTGGTCTGATTCTTGCAGCTCTTATTGCTTTTTATACCTCCATTTAAATGATAAAACATGTTTGTAACAGTCTCAGTTTAAACAAAGAAAATCAAACCAAAATACTAGGAATGAGTAGGAGATTGAGGGAGCTGTCATTCATGGGCTTCCCATGATGTTAATGCATGGCTGCTGAATGCACTGTTGAATCGGTAAACGGATGCACATACAGACCAATACAAGGAATTAAAACAATAATATAAGCTAAAAGTATCGTCTGTCTGATGCACGGTCTATTTCTAAAACTATAAGCTATCTCTGACCCGATGCTGAATCTGTACGGTTTGTTGTGTTCAGAGAAGTACGGCGTCATTCCAAAGAAGTGCTTCCCAGAGTCCCACAGCTCAGAGGCCTCGCGCAGAATGAACGACATCCTCAACCATAAGGTGGGATTTGCACGTTTCACTCGGTTTTCTGTTGGAATCAGATGATGGAACCTTCCAGTAAGTTTCCACTTCAATAAGACGGCTGTGCTTTGTTTCAGCTGAGGGAATACTGTTTGAGACTGAGGAACATGGTGGCCAGCGACGCTACGAAGACCGAACTGTCTGAGGCTATCGACACCATGATAGAAGAGGTGAGGCTCTCTCTTGTTTTTTTTGTTTTCCTCTTCATGCTGATCGGTTCATAAGGAACTGAGGAATTGGGGTTTGTCTGTCTGGGGAAGTACAGACTCCATGCGGTTGCAGATTAGCCTCCATCGCAAAACACTCCTACCTTAATGTTTAACAGAAACAAATCATTGAAGCTGTGTGTCTGTTTTCTGCTGCTGATTTGTGTTTTACACAGCAATTCTGATACATTGCTTAGATTTTTTTTTTTCTGCGACACCAGGATGTTAAACCAAATTTATTAAGAAAAAACTGAGATTTATAAGAACATTTGTTCATCTTAAAGGAATAGTACACCCAAAACATGATTAGCCTTCATTTTCTACTCACCCCCATGCTGAACAACACTCTGGAGTACTTTTTTGATATC